GGTCATCCAGTTGGATGAAGTATATTTTTATTTTAAGAAAACAAAAGAAATCTGGACAGCAATATTTTGAGATTGACGGTTATTAATTAGACATTAATGTTACGTAAACTGCAAATCTTTCAACTTGCATGCACAGTTCATAAAATGCATTCAAGATGCTTTTAGGTTCTCAAATTAGAAATCGAAAATTATTTTGATTCTCGACTTCACGTTTTAAAGAAAAAAATTGGGACATTGAAGCGTGTACAAAAATTCGAGCCACCCTATTTTATAGTAGATCCTGATGTCTTATTTATACAATACAATTAAAATCCGAGTGTAAGAAAATATAAATTTTACTAAAATCAAAAAAATTATCAAAAATAATCCCTACCTCTTGGAAATAATAGAAAACATCCTTTATCCAAATGATAGAATTAGCCCAAAAATCAAGATGGCCAAAGGCTTTGCCATAAGTTTTGCTCAGACATTCAAGTCTATTTGAAAAAAAATTATATTCATATCCAGTAATGAAAATTTCTATTTTTTTTTGTTTTAAGAAATAAAAGGTTTCCCTTTATTATGCTCTATTTTTATAGAAAAGAAATTTGTTTACTTATTAGTGACTTTCTGTATTTTTGTTATTAAGGAACCATACAATCAGGGGCGACGGTGTTAAGATTGACATGTTCGATATTAAATTTGAATTTTTTAAAAAGTTTAAAACCCTAAAAAACCTATGTTTTTAGGATGGTGATTTGGGATCAGATCAATATGCGGGTCGAATCGAGAATTGTAAAATTCTATTAAATATTAGTAATTTTTTATGTTAAAACTTTGATAAGCTTCAAAAAATTTTAATAGGAAATTAATAATTATAACAAACTAAAATTAAACTATAAATCCAAGGTTGCAACTAGCTGATAAAGGCTTACAATTGATTTTTGAAATGCCAAGAAAAAAAAAAGTTAACATGAAAACTTTGTTTAAATGCTGAAATCGAAGAATGCTCCCATTTATGGTTCGTTTGATTGCAATAGTGGAATTTGGGTGGAAAAAAAATGAATTTCAGGGAATTAAATTGTTTAGAATTGTTTTCTTGGAAATTTTCAATTAATTGTGTTTGATTAGTATAATTTTTTACCTGAAAAATGTTGAAATTTTGGATCTTTTGGTATTCGTTTGACTTTGTTTTTTTGAAAATTGTCCATTAAAGAATTATTTTTTTACAATTGTCTCCAGAATTTGTTTTCATTGCAAAAAAAAAATAAAAAATAAAAAATAAAACCCTGAAAAACCAAATCCCACCAAATTGGTGGGAATTCATTTTCCTCAAATCCATGGAAAACCAACCATGGGGCAAAAGTGAGTAAATGAATTGCCAAGAAAACTTGGCCAATCAAACATGCCATTTTGGTGGAAATGGAATTTTTATTGAATCAAACATGGCCTTAGTTTATTATAATTAAGATCAAGTGTCCAACAACTCAACCTACTTAATTTATTAAAAATGAATCTGAAAAGACAGAAGATAGCTTTCGTTAGGTTGATGCTTAAACTCCCACAAGCTAAACCAAGTTATCATTCTTGTACTTGCATCATTGTGTAGTCGGATTTTAATTAGATGTGTTAAACTAATTTGATGCACCTCATTATGAAAATCTAGCTTTCGCTAACACTTGGCTTCTCATTTAGCCTTCGTCTTCTACAATGGTTGAGTTAAACCTGTCAATGGTTCTTCGCCAGCTTTCTTTTTTGAGGAGTGATAATCCAATGATGGGGTCTTAAGATTATACAATTTTAAGATTTTACGACATGATCAAATAGTTTGTTATTTTGAGATGATAAAATCTAAAATCGTAAGATTGAGATTGTGAGTTTAACAACTATGTTTCCACTTACTCAAAGACAAAAGATTGGACTATTTTGTCCTTTGATATTTCAGCCAGCCTATAACGCAATTGTTTAATTTACCTTATTTTCATTATAATACCTTTGAGAGTTAGTGAGAAATTGAATGTGAATATCTTTTAATGTATTTTTTTTTTTTTTTTGTTAAAACGCTAAATACTCTCGTTCAAACTCAAAATTATCTAAGACTTGTTCATATTTAACTTGAGAGTTCGTAAGAAAATTGAGTTTGAATATAATTTCATGTTTTCCAATTTAATAGGCGCATTTTCAACTTTTTCGTTCATTCGAAACAGTTTCTGATGAACCAAATATACCATGAACATTTACATCACCACAAAAGTCAAATAACAGGTCCACTCAGGGGCGGAAGCAAATGTTTAAAGTTAAGGGGGTACAATCGAACTTGAAAAGAAGTTAAGAAAAATTTTACAATAAAAATTTATGTCCAAAAAAATCATACCCCATGTAATTTTGCATCCTAAAATTTACATGAGATGTGACTTTTTCGGATGTAAAATTTTGAAATTTTTTGATGTCATATTCTATACAAAATTTTCTAATAAAATGATAAAAATTACGTTGAGAAATTTGTATAGCAAAAATAATAAATGTTAATGAAATAATTGATTTTTTTTTAATGCGAGCTAAACGTGTTTTTAACTATTTTTGATATTTGTTTGGATTATTCGATAGGCCCATAATGTAGTTCTCAAAATAAGCTTTGAGAAGACATAAGCAATTTGTAGATTCGATTAACGTAAGATCGTCGGTGAGTTTTTAAAATTAGCATGTTATCGAAATTCAAATTTATTGTGGTTTAGCCCCTATTTAGTGGAGATTAAAATCAATTTTTTATTAAATGTTGATAAAAGTTAAATAGTTATGGATTTCATTAAATATGTTATTAAAATTAATTGTTAACTTTGATTTATATTAAAATTTAAATTTCACTCGACACCAAACGTGACTTTAAAAAAAAAAAACTCAGAAAGTTGAGGGGGGGGGGGGGGGGGGGATGCAAAGATACTGCTCAGAATTTATATTCATATTCAAGAACCTCGAATTATAAAGCAATCCACAAGAGAAAACTATAGTGTTTTGAAAGAGAGTAACATCCCCAAATTTTGAACTCATTAGATCACCAATTATTTCTATGAACTCATTTGCTAAATCTAGCCACGTTCTCAAGCTGTTATTCACTGTTTGGTTTCATGTCAAATGTGTCCTACTCAATGAGGGATGTACGAAATTTAGTTGAAAATCAACATCGAGAAATATCCGGTTTCACCTCGACCAAGTGCCTCAGCTATGTTGTCCATTCTGTTACTTGCTTTAATGAGGAATATATAGCTTTATTGATCAGAGGAAATGATCGTGTTTACCATCAAGAAGGTGCAACACCTGCAGCCGTGTTTGTGATGTGATAAGTTGAGGTAATATGAATAATTCACCACGATAGAGATTAAAATAGAGAATGAGATTGGCAATGTTTACTAAGGGATTGTCTGATGGAAATTTTTTTAACCAAAAAATCAATTTTTTTACCCTTTTTTTCCACACTTTTTGCTCCACCGACACACAAAAGTCAAACTTTTCGGCTGAATAGTGTTCCCAACGTTCCAAATTGTGATTTATAGTAGAAACAGACAGGCCCTAAGCTTAAAAAGTTCACTTATATTTTTGAGTAAGTTTTAATAACTATTACATTTTTTTTTTTTTAAGAATCCCCTGTCTTGTAAAATAATTTGATCTTTGAAGAACTTTTCATATCATGTCCAGTAGTGTTTACCGAACATGCTGAAAGAGTATTTTTCGAAGCATAAAAAATCTATGTATCATGAAATTCCAATACTATTGATATTTAAAAAATCATTTATTTACCTCTCCCATTGACGTGCGCATAGCAGGGTCCATTTGGACACATAAGCATGCTGTTTTAGCCATATGGTAGAGTTCATAAATCCTATACGAGTCCCCAAGGCGAGGATCAACAAGCTTTTCTAATGCAAGCGTCTGAATCAGTGGCAACGCCTGAAACAACAGAAGATATATTTGGTACAAAAATATAAGATTGTTTGTGAAACCTCGTAACAGTTCGCAAAAACTGTTTATTTCATCAGAAAAAAATCTCTGCGAAACAAATTATGTGGGTGAGAACAATATTACTACGTTGTTTACAAGGAAGAAATATGGTCAGACAACCTACCCATTGTATAATGGAGTGTTGGCTGTTGTCACTAGTTGAATCCACTATCCGGCGTCCTGATATTAGTTGTAACAAGACAACCCCGAATGCATAAACATCTTTTTTTACAGAAACATTGCCATTTTCTGTGTACTCTGGTGCAAGATTTCTACATGAGGCGAGAAATATCTAACTCAGTTCATTGAAGGGCGACTAGGCATTTCATCGTTCATATTTTGAGGAAAACTGTTCTCGAATCTTTTTTGTAAACGGTGAACCTAAACTTACTCTAGAGTGCCAAGAATTCGTGTTTGCCTATCAGCCTCGTCCGTCTTCCATTTTGCTAGTCCAAAGTCTCCCAGCTGTGCATCAATAAAATGAATAAAATCGAAGACATAACAAATTATCACCTCTAAATTATTTGCAGGTCAGCATTTGAGATTATTATTTGGATAACCTAATAAACTTGACCAGAAAAATCTTGGACCTTTGAAGGAAGAGTTTGTGTTCACGGCAATCAAGTAGGAAGAATAAAATGTGTGAGCGAATCAAATTAAGCGAACGAAGACATTGGCTAATTGTACTGGGAATAAAGATTTTACCATGGGAACCAAGTCATCCGTGAGCAATATTTGGCTAGGCCTCACTTCCAGATGAATAATAGGACATCCCCGACACTCGTCATGTAGATAACGCAAACCTTGTGCAATTCCAATGGCAATAGAACGTCTTGTGTGCCACTCAAGAACATGATCCGTATTATCTGTTAATAAATACATAACTGAACATGGCTAGAAGGGATACATTTTTTTCCTCACGACTAAAAGGATAAATAACTGTAGAGATGTAAAATTCGGCTATTATAGTTCATGTGTACTAAATTTGATTACCAAATAAATGCCACTCTAGAGATTTGTTGCAGATGTATTCATAGACCAAGATGTTAATGTTTTCCTTGCAACAATAACCAAGAAGCCTCGCAATGTTCTTATGGCGTGCAAAACTCAGGGCATATACATCAGAATGAAATTCTGCAGGCCCTTGTGTACTTGCATCTTTTAGCACCTTTGCTGTAATGAGCTGCCCATCCTTAAGTTGGCCTTTATAGGCAACAGCATATCCTCCTTCCCCGAGTAAATTATCAGATGAAAAATTCTCTGTTGCAATCTGGATTTCGGAATAACTAAATGCAATTGAATCTAGCCCATTATTCATGCCATTATCAGTTGAAAGAACAGGCACGTCAGAAGATTTCTGAGAAATTTTTTGTTTCTCCCTCATTAGAGGAGAGACAGCATATTTATTTTCCCCTTCAGCATTGCTACCTGTTGAAATCATTCATTATAATTGTTGAAGACTAAAATACACATGCACGTACTCCTCTCTAACCAAGGGCGGATCCAGGAGTGGACTAAAAGAAATTTTAAGCTGGCTAATATGTAAATAAATAAAAAATCCAAATAATTATTTTCTGAGCAGCCAGAGGTCGTGAGTTCAAATATTACCGCTGCCCATTTATGAAAATTATTAGACATTTGAGCTGATAAGTGATAGTTCAAACACAAATTTTGAATCAGATAGTGTGGAATGTCAAGTAAAAAATGTTTTAACATTTAAAAAAAAAAAAAAGTTAAACCTGGTTTCTGTTGTTTAGCACTATCTCGCGACCGAAATTTCATAAACTCTTGTATAATTTCTTCCTTGGGCACCTTTGTTGTTGAATCAGAGGATCTCTGTGGACTTCTTTGTTTTTGCTTCATTGGGAGAGAAACAACATATTTATTTTCCACTTTAGCACCATTACCTGTTGAAATTACTCAATTAAAATAGCAAACACTTAAGAAACAGAGATCGAGTTGTGCTGCCTAAAAGCCTATTTTGCTATTTCAGCAATGAAAGCATAAACAGATTATAGATTTAAAGATCAAAAAGGAATACAAGATGAGAAACTCTTTTAGCACTCACAACACTTAAACCAAGAGAGAGTTCTACCTCAATGTTAATATAATACCAAGTGTAAATGACGATTCATTTTTCTCATTGCTGGGTTTTGATACTCAATGAATCCCGGGATATGATGTAAACGTCGCATTGAATTTCATAGGCATTAGCCGATGAATTAAATTGTTACCAACAACCAAGCCCAAAGGCTCGACTCGAAAACAACATAGGCTGGAAGTAGAAGATTATTTGAGGACTTGGGATATATAGAGATTTACCAATTATTCACAAGTTAAGTGATCAATCTAGTGACATTGTAGGCGATTAGAGGAGATATTTATTCTTAAAGTGTGAGTAAAACGAAATGGGATATGATAAGTGTGGTGAGATCTTTTCGTGAGGTCATTTATGCATTTGTTGCATATGTGTTGGCCGTATGTTTGATTAACTTGATGTTAATCCGTTGTTCTGTGTGAATGTATTTTTGAAAAGATCTGTTGGTTATCCTATATTATATCTTTATCGCATGATTATTTGCTCTCAATTGTTTACCGTAGGTATGGTATGTGTTTCGAGTCCGAAACACGAGGTGGGTATGTGATTCCAATTATGCAAGCATTAACTTTGTACTTTAATTGCTTGCAGGTTGATTGGGTATCAAGGTAGAGATTTGTCGAGTTTTGATACCCAATGAATCTTGGGCTATGATGTAAACGTCGGATTAAATTGTTATCAACAACCAAGTCCAAAGGCTCGATCCGAAAACAACGTGGGCCGTTGGAAGTAGAACGACCCATATATATTACCTCTTGGATGACTTTGAATCTTGATCTATTTAACCCTTTATTGGTCAAACTAAAGCCTAACCTAGCCTATATATATGTTGTTTCTACCCTAGCCATTACGTGTGTGATTTGTGTATGAAAAATAGAGAAAAATGTGGCCTTTGAGAGAGAGAAACCGGCAGCCTGCTGGACAAGGAAAAAGTGTGGCTTCCCTTTGATTTGCTACAAATCATCACCGTTATTTTGTCCTTTGTGGGTGAGATTGAGGAGCAACTGAGGTGAATATATTGATTGTGAGTTGGAGTCGTTTGGATTCGTTGTTTGGTAGAGAAGGTAGAGTGAAACTGAGCCCATGAAATATCGTTTTGTCGATCCTTGGAACGAGCTTCCGCAACACTTATTATATTAAACCTTATATTTTTTTGACAAAGAAATCCAGATATGTGAAAGGAAAATGATGGAAAGACTGTTAAATACTAAAATTCAAATAAATAAATTGGTACATTTCTAACAGTTTAAGCTTTTATGAGGTGGTTTAATATTGTATTAGAACGAGTATGGATCTTGAGTTCAAGTCTTGCAGCTGTCCATCTATGAAAATCGTGCACGTTTGAGCCTTTGATAAAAGTAAATCTAGTATGAACATAAGGGGACATGTTAAAGATTAATATGAAAAAATAAGTGTTCTCTCTCTCTAATAACTTAAACTTTTAAATAAGGTAGTTCAACAGACTAGAGCACAAATAAAAAAATAGTTTACCAAAGCTAATAACAGTTTCTTCTATTACTTAAGGCTAAAGGTCCGTTTTAACTTAGAAGTAACAGTTCAGGCACAAATTATAATCAAGTATAGAGGAAATGCTAAGTCAGATATGCCTAAGTACTTTGAAATCTTTGTAACCTGATTTCTCCGGCGTAGTATTTTGGCTGGATTCATCTTGTGAGGAAAAGCTGTGATCATTGGAATTGGGCGTGAATGATGATATGGAGCTGTTCTTGGTCATGTTAGAGCCCTCGAAGGTACAGATAGATGCATAGGATCCGGCAGAAAGGACAGAATTGTTGATTGTCTCGTTATCTTGATCAGATAGTGGCTCGACAGGCTTGGATAGCGAGTAAAACAGTGTATATTCAATATTTCCAACATCCTTTTTAGAAGAATATGGCCTCAAAACCTCCAATGATAAGTCATCAAGAACCAGTGCAACCTTGCAAGGGGTGTGTTTAACATAATATTTCAACTCCTTTCTTAGGTGCCTGTCATTGTAAATTATCAGCTATCCTAGTGAAATATGTTTGCATTTGAAGAACACAAATGAAACAACATGAAATTCAAACATGCCCATAGTAAGCTAGGTAGAAAGTTCATTATTGATATTAACAATTTCATAGAAGCAGCTTAAAATTAAATTAAATAAGAAAATAATATATACCAAAGAAATTGGGACTATGATCAAAGAGAACAAATATATTCTCGTTTCAGCTGAAGTGTAAATGGACATAAATTTTTCTTTGCTTTTCACATTAGAATTTGGTGAGATCTTCAATTTTATAATTGTATAATTTTGATGAAAAAAATGCTTACAATATAGGAACATAGAGCACAACATCACTTTAAGACTTCATTTTTCGATCCTTTACGTCCTTAAGAAAATCACATTTTTATCTTTTCCCCCTTCTTTGTGAAATAAAACTGTGAATAAAGTTTTCTGGAAAAGAAAACACTCTTTTTCCCTTCCAAAGAAGAGATGAAATAAATAAATAAATGAAGACAAACTTGATAAAAAAATGTCAATTAATCGAATGCTACCTATCAAGTACAACCCAGGTTGCATTGGAAGTTGCAACTTCTTTTGCAACAACCATCTTCATTGGACCTCCAATAGTAATCTTGGCTTCAATTTCAACCTAATAAGAGATTGTAATGGCTTAGTAGTGAAAACTATAAAATATTGTGGCTACTCTGTTTCTTCTAACAGATAAGTGAGAAATAATAAAAGTATCCTCCCAAATCATGGAAAGTTTTCATCGTCTGTAGAGAGTCTGTGTGCCATTAAAAGTAAAATTTCTGAAGGAATATAAAAGTACATATTACCCCATCAGCTTCACATTCTTCAGCACTATGATGGAGCATGCTCACATAAGAATCAATTTTTCTCGAGAATTCTTCTTCCATTGCACGGACATGTGTTCCAAAGAAAGGCCCGTGACCTATTTTCATTTGGTAACCCACTGTACACAAATATGAGTTAACAAAACTAAACACCTAAACTGAAAAATAATGCAACAAAAAAAGACCAGTCCGTAAGTCATCCAACCATATTCCTAATAGCGCACAATTGCAACACAAATATGTCTTATGCCATGTATTGACCTGATTGTTATCTATAATTTTCGAGATTTAAAAAGAAATGAATGGAGCTAAATTGTTTGACTAATGCGTTTGATTGCAAGGGTGGAAAGAAAATGTTTTATAGGGAAAATATTTGCCTAGAAAATGTTTTGCATGAAAAATAATTTTAAGTGTGTTCAGGGGCGGAGCCACGTGGGGGCCTGCCAGGCCCCCACAACATTTTTGACAAAAAAAAAAATTTAATTTAAATTTTTTTTTTTAATTACCACTTTCAACGCATTTTTCACATAGAAAACATTAGAATTTGGATATGGCTATTTCTAGAAGAATTATAGCCCTTCGAGTTAGCT